TGGCGGGTTCAGCATCAAGGGGGGACACCAACCCCAAACAGGGACCCCTAAGCCCCAAGGGGGAGATGTCCAAGCCCCAGGAGGGAGCTCAAGCACAATGAAGAAACCCCAACCCCAAGAGAGAGACCCCATCAGAGAGACCCTTAACCGAAGGAGAGAGGCCCCAACCCCAAGGGAGGACTCCAAGTCTAAGAGGGGGAACTCGAGCACAATGAGGACCTCAACCCCAAAAAGGAAAACCTTACCCTGGAGGGTAACAATGAGGACTCCAAAGACTAGGGGGACCCCAAGTCCAAGAGAAAAGACTCCAATCCTAAGGTGAAGACTCTAAGAGACACTAAACATTCCAACCCTAAGTGGGATACCCCAGCCTTGGGGAAGTGACCCCAAACACCATGAGGACCCCAGCGCCCATGGCAGACCCCAGCCCCAGGGGCACTTGCCTCGCATAGGACGATGCCAAAGGAGAAGATGTCCACCTTCTCATCATAGCTCCTCCCTGCAGACACAGGGTCAGGCCATGTCACACGTCCTGTCCCAGCCCCAGCAAGCATCCCCTGCCTGGGGACAGAGCCCTGGCTGGCCACATTCCCCTCACCATTGATCATCTCGGGGGCCATCCAGTAGGGGTTCCCCACCACCGTGTAGCGTTTCTTGCGGTCTGGTTTCTTCAGGTTCTTGAGATGTTCGGGCTGGTTCTTCTCATCCACCATCAGCCGCGCCAGCCCGAAGTCAGCCACCACCACACTCTTGTTCTGGAGTCACAGGGAGGGGTGAGGCCTGGGGGAGCCAACAGGGACTGAGAGCCCCAGCCAGGCTGGAGGAGGGCAGCGCCAAGGTGGGACTCACCTCCCGCACGAGGCAGTTGTGAGAGTTGAGGTCGCGGTGGATGATGTTCATGGAGTGGAGGTAGGCCTGTGGGAAGGGTGGGCTGAGAGCAGGGGCACCCCCACGCCATGGACCCCCCGCTCAGCAGTGCCCCTTGCACCCACCCATCCCATGGTGGCACCCACCATGCCAGCAGCGATGTCCTTGGCAAAGCTGACCCGCTGGCTCCAGGGGTAGTGGCTGTCCTGGGGGGCAGGAGGAGGAGTTTGCCAGGAAATGAAAAAGGAAGAGGGGTCCCCCAGCCACACTGGGGCTGTGGGGTGGTGGGGGACCAACCTGCCTCCCCCAGTGCTCACCATGCTCTTGATGAGGCTCCTTAAGGTGCCCCCTTTGATGTACTCTGTGATGAAGTTAAGCCTCTTCTCCTTGTAGAGCACTCCAATGAACTTGAGCACATTGGGGTGCTCCAGGCAGCGCATCACCTTCACCTGCAGGAGACCCCCCAGCCCCATGTCCGTGACACCCCAAGGCTCCCACACCCCTGACAGAGCTGCTGCTCACAGGCTCAGTGGGCAGGGCTTCATCCACCGGGCTTGGTCAACCCTGTGCAGGGGCTGTGCCCAGGTGGGGCCAGGATCAGACAGACCCATCCCTTGTGGCCCTGCAGCCTGGGGGATTAAGGACAGGGGACCCTCACCTCTTTGAGGAAGGTCCTCTGGGTCTCCTCATCGAAGCGAATCAGCTCCTTCATGACCATCACCTCGCCCGTCTCCCGATGCGTCACCTGGCCAGGAGCGCAGGGACTCAGCCACCCCCTCCATCCTGGGGAGCCCAGACCCCCAGGCTCGTGCCCCCTGCCCACCTTGATGGCCTGGCCGAAGCAGCCCTTGCCCAGCACCTCCCCGTGGATGAGGTCCGAGGGGCGGAAGATGCGGTGGGCGCGGGACACGACGCGCAGGGACTCGGAGCGCCCGATGTCCTTGCGCTGGGACGCGGGAGAGCCCACGGAGCCCGAGCCTGGGGACTTGTCCGTGCTGCAGCTCCTCCTGTGGGATGGACAGGCAGAGCTCAGTGTGCTGGGGGCACCCAGCAGGGACAGGGACAGGGACAGGGGGTGGCCTTACGTGACAGCGCGCTGGCGCATGGCAGCCGGGTCCCCGCAGGGCACGGGGGCTGGCGAGCACAGGGGGCTGCACAGGGCAGGCAGGGGGCTGCCTGCCAGCCCTGGCTCCTGGCCCAGGGGCTCGTGGGGGTCATGCTCGATGGTTAGCTGCAGCAGGCGGCTCGTCTCCTGGATCAGCAGGTCGATCTGCACAGGGACATGGTGATGGGGTGGGTTTGGGGACATGGCGGAAGTGGGGCTGGCTGGGGTGTGACAGGGTGGGGGGGACCGTACCTCATCCAGGGGGACGTGGCCGATGGGGGTCCCGTTGATCTCCAGGATGCGGTCACCAACATGGATGGAGTTCTTCATGTCAGGGCTGATGCAGTCCGGGTCTACCCTGTGGGGACAGTGGGGTCAGGCCCCCAACACTGTCACCATCAGGGGGTGTACTAGGACACTCCCAGTGGGTGCGTCAGACCCCACTGTCACCTCCTGGACAGGGACATGCTGGCACAGTCCCCACAAGCCACCCGAACCACACAGGGACATGCATGGTACCCACTCAGGTATATAGGGCAATGCCAGCATGGCCTGGGACACAGCAGCAGAGCCTCCACAAAGCCCCCAGCAGTTGGGGACATGCCACCACGGTCCCTACAGGCCACCCCTGGACAATGCGGACAACCCAGCACCACTCCCCCTCTCCCACCCCAAAATGTGTCCTGGGATGGATCCCAGGGGCAGAAGGGGCACGGGAAGCCCCAGCCCTGGGGAGGGGATGGCGGCAGAGGGGACAGGACGCACTCTCGGACGCGCACGGTGCGCGGGTGCTCGGTGCCGCAGCCCTGGTCGATGGAGACGGAGAAGCCGCGCTTGCCGTCGGAGCAGGCGGGGATGGACACGAGGGTGACGGTGTGAGGGATGCGGGAGGCGGGCGAGTCCGGCAGGATCTGCTCGATCACCGGCGTCACCACCATCTGGTAGTAGCAGTGGCCGCTGTGGGGAGCAGACAGGAGGGTGGGTGGGGTGCTGGGACGCGTGCCCCGGTCCCCCTGGAGCAGACGTACCAGTAGAGCTTGGAGCGCTCCACCAGCGCGTACGTGTCCCCGTCCCCGATGAAGGCGCGGCAGTTGAGGCAGATGAAGCACTCGGGGTGATACTTCTGCTCCCCGGCCACCTGTGAGCAATGGCATCAGCCCCGGGACCCCCTGTCCAGGCACTGAGGGCAGGGCTGGGGCTCAGAGGGGCCTGGGAGCACCCACGGGTGCACTGGGGCTGCGGGTAGGGCGGGCTGAGGTGTGGGATGGTGGGGACAGAAGTGCCACCAAGTTGGGGGTGGCTGCAGGAACATTTCCCACCACGCTGAGCTTCTCCCCTGCATTCCCCAGTCCCAGCAAGGCCCTCCAGGGTCCCCTAAAACCTAGAGGACACCCCTGACACACCCAGTGGTGCTGGGAGTCTGCACCCCTTCCCCCCCCGCCCTGCTCCCCAGGAGCTCAGCCATGGCACAAGGCTCCGTGTCCCACCCTGGGGGCCCCGTGGTGCTCACCATGACCAGTCCCTTGGTGATCTGCTCGGAGCAGCCGTGGCACAGCTCCCCAAAGCGTGCGCAGTAATCCTTCTTGCAGTACAGGCGCCCATCCTTCTCGTAGTACTGGTGGGACAGGGAGGCCCCGCACTCACAACACCTGCAGCAGGGACAGGGACACTCCTGTCACCTCGTCCCCACTGTCACCCCGGGGCACAGCCAGTGCTTGCCCATTCCACAGCTCTCTGGACAAGCAGCTTCCCTCACTGCCTATGTAGCTGCAGGGCCACTGCATCAATGTGTCATCATCCCCAGGGTGACAGCAGGTGATTCCAGGGGTGTGACAGTGCAGGTTGGGGCTGCAGGGACACGTGGGGACACTGGGGTGGACAAGGAAGGGGACGTGGGGCAGGGAGAGGCATGAGGAGGGAAGCGCCAACTCTGCATGGATGTGCCAGCCTGGACAATGACACACAGAGGGATGTACCAGACTGGTGACAGACATGCCACCCTGGTGACAGACGTGCCAGCCTGGCACAGGCTTACAGAGGGATGAGACACACTGGTCACAAGCAGGGCAGCCTGGCCACAGACAGAGGGACGTCCTACCCTGGTGACAGATACACAGAAGGACATGTCTCTCTATCCATGACTAGGGTGACATGCCAGTCTGGTCACAGACATACAGAGGGAAGTCCCACCCTGGTCATGGGTCTGTCACCCTGCTCACAGATGTGACAGTCCAGTCATGGGTGCACAGAGGAACATGTCACCTTAATCATGGACAGAGGGATGTCCCACCCTGGTCACAGACACGCACAGGGATGTGCCAGCCTGGTGAGGGACATGCCAGCCTGGTCACGGATACACAGAAGGATGTGCCAGACTTGCCACGGACATGACACTGTGGTGACAGATGTGCCAGTCTGTGTGTGTGTCGCTGGCACAGACACACAGAGATGTCCCAGCCTGGCCACAGATGTGCCAGCCTGGCACAGACACACAGAGAGATGGTCCCAGCCTGGCCACAAATGTGCCAGCCTGGCACAGACACACAGAGATGTCCCATCCTGGTCAGGGATGTGCCAGCCTGGTCACGGACACACACAGGGACATGCCAGCCTGGTCACAGATACACAGAGAGATGTCCCAGCCTGGTGACAGAAGATCAGGGACAGAGGGACATGTCCCCTTGGTCACAAACTCCCCACCCTGGCACAGACAGCCAGAGGGACATGCCAGCCTGGCCAGGGACATGCCAGCCTTGTGGCAGGGGCACAGGGATGGGAGAGCTGCTGGGGGGTGCAGGGGGTGACAACAGCAGGGTGTGCCTGGGGCTGCAGAGGAGCCTGTCAGCTTTGGGATACAGCACCAGGGAGGCACATCACACTGTGCAGGAGGGGACAGGGGTACCAGAGAGGATTTCTGTGGGGTGTGGGAGTGCCTGGGGGGTGCAGAAGGGGAGCCACAGAGGATTTCCTATATGGGAGTGCTGAATGGGTGCAGGGGATGCTGTGGGAGGGGTGCAGGGTGCTGCAAGGGGGAGAT